AAAACTTTATTATAAAGCAACTATGTCAGGCATACATATTTCTTCATGAGTGATCTTTCCTAAGCTTTCCGTAGTCTTATTAAGTATAAATCTATATCTTTATTATATATAAGAACAATTATTCAATGAAATTTTAAGTACATTAATTTAAATTTTTTTTTATAGACTTTTAATAATTAATTAGTTCGTATTATAGAATAATTTGTAAGAACGCCCATGATACTGTAGGAGTTTAGATTTAAGAAAAAAAAGCGCTATTGTAGTTATAATTATGAGGGTTGATTATGTGTTACAATTTGCATTATTTTAGAATGTTGTAGGAGATAAAGATGATGTTACAGGCTGAGCGTTTTGAATTTAATATCTAAAAAAAAAAAGCACTCTTATTGGTAATAGATAATAGAATGTATGCTTTTATTTTATCTTGACTCATTTTCAAGCATGAATCAAAAGAATCACATGTAATTTAGATCTCTTAAAGAAAACTATTTTTCGACCCGTTTTCTTGAGAATAGGGTTATATCTTCTTCCGCATAGCTTCATAAGGAATTGGTTCTAGACCTTAATTAAATTAGACTCGAAAATTGAATCAAATTAAAGAGCCAAATATTTTAAAAAAATTGTATTTAAAAAAAAGCCAATCTTTTTTACAGCATGTGATTATGCAGGATAATATTATATAGTTTGTAATTATTGATAATAGGGATATCAATCAAGTTCAATTTCATCAATTTTATAAAAAAGATTGGAGATACGTAACAGAGAGTGATTGCTTATTAATTGCTGCGCCACGAGATAATATATTATTAATCCAAATTAGGAGCATTACATAATAATATGACCATTACATAATAATTAAACAACCTCTTAATAATGTCGCTTTTGAACATCGTAACACTATATAAAAGTCAATTTGACCCTTTCTCTTAAAAAACCTTATCACTTTAGATAAATAATTTATTTCAAATAAATAAAAAATAATAATATCCAATTATAAAGTTTTTATTTTAATAAATTAAAGATGCCACAAGCAATTATAGCTCCTTCCATTTTATCTGGCGACTTTGCTCAACTTGCAGTTGAATCTCAACGTATGATAAATGAAGGGGCAGACTGGCTGCATATTGGTATGTTTATTTTGCTTTTGTTGTTTTTTTTTCTTATTACCATCTAAACGGTAATAATGATAGAAAAAAATGGTCGTGGAAATTTTTTTAATTAAAATCCATTGTTTTTTTTTTTTAAATCATAATTGTAGATATTATGGATGGGTATGCATCGAAATTTGTAAAAATACTTTAAAGCTTTTCTGAATTTGTGTATCTTGAAGAAAAAAATAATCTAATAATAAAAAAATAAAAAAATAAAAAAAATTTTTTTTAACGTTTAGACATTTTGTCCCCAATCTTACTATTGGTGCTCCAGTAGTTCAATCTTTACGCAAACATACCAATGCTTTTTTTGGTAACGTGCGTGAACCCTTAACTTTGGGGTAAAAAAAATTATATAATTTTTTTGCGTCTTAAATTAATTATATTCTTTAAAATTCATGTAGATTGCCATTTAATGGTATCAAACCCCGAAAAGGTTTGTTTTTCCGAATTATTAAACAAATTAAACTAGTTAAAATATACCCTAGTACTAAATTACTACATCATTTTTTTATTAAAATATTGTATATATTTGTTTTTTTTAAAAAAAAAAGTGGGTTGAAGATTTTGCAAAAGCAGGGGCATCATTGTTCTGTTTTCATATAGAAGCATCACAAGACCCGGGGAAACTTATCGATGACATTCGTAGTCATGGAATGAAAGTTGGTGTTGCGGTTAAACCTAAAACACCTATTGATGTTATATTTCCTTTGAGTCATAAGATTGACATGTGTTTAGTAATGACAGTTGAACCTGGTTTTGGTGGTCAAAAGTTTATGGAGGACTGTATGTCAAAGGTACGTATAATATATTTGTTGTGTTTGTTAGTTTTTTAACAGTGTTATATGTCAATTTTATAGCACGGCCATTATTGATCATTTCGTCATCCATGCTTGATATATTACACGATGCATACGTCATTCATACTTTTATTATATTACACTATACGAATTAAAGGAGATTAAAGGAGTTTAAAAAAGACATAAATAGTATAATTTATGATCAATGACCGCCGTACTATAATACCAATATAGCTTGATAATTCTGAGGTACATCACATTAGTACAGCGATACTTTTTTTGATTATTAAGAAAATGGCGTTTCGCGCCGTTCTCTGATCAAAAAAATGATCACTGTACCAGCACGATGTTATCTCATATTATCATACTATATATTTTATATTATATATATGAATGAATGTTTGTGAATTATCTATTAAGTGATATTCCTTGAGTCTATTTTATATATATTTATATTTATTTAGACGATTTATATATTTAAATATTATAATTATGATAATTATGATTTAATTTTAATTTTGTAGGTAAAAACATTAAGAGAAAAATTTCCAGAATTAAATATAGAAGTGGATGGAGGTTTAGCACTTGAAACAATCGATCAAGCAGCTAAGGCTGGCGCAAATGTAATTGTAGCTGGTACATCTATATTTAAAGCTAATAATCCAAAGGAAGTAATTAGTACATTTAGGAATAAAGTTTCCGCTGAGCAAGCTAAATACTCAAAATCAGTAGAATAGAATATATATATATATATTTATATTTATTGCTTTTGAAGCTTTTAAAGAAAAATGTTGATTAATTTATTTAATTTATTAATAAAGATTTTCTTTTTTTTTCAACATATGATATAATTTCTGAGTATTTAACCCAGATGAATGAATTTAAAAGTGGTAGAGATGTGTGAACTGATTATCAAGTAATAAGTTTAAAATATGAGATTAAAATTAAGTGATGTCTATAAATCATATTTAATTTTCGGAAATAAATATTAATTTGGTTCATTTATTGAGAGGATTTTCTAGACGATGATGCATATCATATTTAAATTCAGTAATGTTGTCAGATCTAATGCTTTATAGATCAAGTCAAAAGGGACATTGCATCCCAAAATTTTGTCGGATATTTAGACATGCTTAATGAGGTAAAATAATGAGGTAAAATGAATCAACGTTTTTGATCTAACTAAAACGATCATCATATTGCAAAAAAAAAAAAAAAAAATGAAATGATAAATGAAAATTCGAATGAATAATAAAGAATTGATAATATCGATTTTTTATGAATTATTTGTAATCTATGCTAAAAGTGTCTAAAAAGTGTTAATAATAATTGATAGTTTTAATAATTGCTTTTAAAGAGTTTACATAGTACATACACTTACAGAACGTAAAAGCGAGCAAAAGCGTGTACTTTGAGAAATTACACAACATTTCGGGAAATTATCGAATAACCCGAATTTACTAAACATGGTAAAATTGATAATCTGTTCGCGTTAAAATTTCGGCACGATTTTAAACTTTCGGTGTAACTTTCGGCTCAATTACTCTTTTATGATTTTTTTTTTTTTCATTTTCCGTATAAACTTTTGGATTAGCAATTTTTTTTGATCGGAAAAAATATTATTTGTGTAGAAACTTTTAAAAAAAAGAATAAAATGATTTACAACGCTTACCATGCCAGGTCGATTAGTGATACTTTATAAATGACGATACAACGTATGTACATATTAAGTTTTAAATCGTCCACGTGTTAACCAACATG